AGTCCAACGTCGTCCAACATTGTTGGTCCAAGAATGTTGGATGATGTTAGTAGATGTACTTTCAGTACGTACACTGCATCACGTCAGATAAAAAAGGACGTATACTGTATGATATCACCGCTCTATGTGATGTCAGATAAAAATAAAGTACAACACTGTACGTACTGTAGGTACACCGCACTCACACCTTATCACGTCACTTCCGCCGCTGAATGGGACCCTATCTACGGATGTTGGATGAAAATTTTAAACCAAGTCAAAACCGATCCAACATCAGGCAAAACTACCCAACATAGTGTTCAAACGAGACCAACAATGTTGCATCCAGCAGTGTTAGATGATGTTTGTGATGTTACTCTGAGTGTGCATCCACACCGAGCAAGCTGAAAAGTTAGCTTGGCCACGGTGGGAATCGAACCCGCGACCCTCGGGATATTGTAGTCCAATGCTCTGCCAACTGAGCTACGAGGTCAAGTCGCTTCGAGTTGGTGATATATGTTGGATCAACATGTTGGCCTCGTTTCAACGAGCCTTAAACGTGATCGAATCAAAGGTTTATTACGTCGCCTCTGGCTGACAACGGATGATGCACTGACAACGGATGTGGGAACAGAATATTGCTGTATAATAGAAATCATTGAACACTGACGAAAAAGATTAACATACCGTGTGCCTCTCCAAAAAGGCTGACATTGGTGCGTAGAACCTGTTGCAATAAATACATGTACGTGCATTTAATAATCAACTTAAATGCAAAAATAAATTTGATGTACGTACTTGAAAGGATATCGGCAACAGAATTTATGTGAATCATTCACGGTAGTTAGTGGCTAATGTTTTTAAATGTAAAAATAATACTCTATATATGCCTGTTAATTAAGTAGTACTTGACACTCCTAATTAAGTTGAAACATCTTAACATCAGCTGCACCTTGGCCACAAGTAAAGCTTTTTGACAAACAAATTTTTCATCACTCGTTCAACTTTAGAAAAACCAGCAGTGAATGCTTCTGGTGCATCTGAAAATGCTTTGATAAAACCCGTCTAAAAACAGAAATAAAAGTAGAAAACATTTACAGTCAGATTTTAGAAACAAAATATTTTCCAAAGGTTGACAATGCATATAATAGGTAATAAAGAAAATGTAAGCATGTACTTTGTTATTTTCCCTGTACAGTCTTAATATAAATGCTTCTTGACAAGAATCTATAATCCTTAAATAAAAATATAACACTGATTCGATTTCATGTCCAGCTTATTATTCGCAATATAATAACTGAAGACGCAGGCATTCTTGACCGAATTATGACGTTATAATCTTCTGAATTTTGCAAAATCTCACTCCAAAATGCACGAAATGGCGTTTCAGAGGCTCTGAATTTCAAAATTCCCCCCCTACAGTGTTTGCGCCTTTGGCGCTCAAATTGTCCACTTCCATTTTGTAAACCCTGGCTACGCCACTGCGGGCTGAAAAATACAAGGAGAAATTCGACGTTTCCAGCGAAGGCCGAAATTATACGAATATAAAAGCGATCACGTGACAACAAATAAACCAATCAGATGGATTTAGGCAAAGCAAAGTATAAACAAAAAATGCAAATCACATTACAGAATATATTAATACAAATATATATAATAATTCATACAAATAATAATTTCAATTTGACGAAACATGTGATCGCTACGGCCAGGATGTTCTTGGAAAAATGGCATATAAATAATCATGCTTTAAACAGAGAAGACGAGAAATATAAAGAATTATCTTCATTTTGTATCTCCATCAGTGTCGATACACAAGGTGGTGAATGAAAGTTGTTTGGGGAAGGCATTCAATTTCACTTCAACCATCCAGGGTGTAAAAAGCGAAAACTTGTCAGATCTTATTAACAACATACTTATGTGCTTTACACACAACAATGCCAGTGACAAGATGTATTGGTAATTTCTTTGTCAACATGTCCACCACCAAAATACGAGAAGTCACAAATAAAACGCCACCATTCAAGTAAAGAGTTTCTCTGTACAAAAAAGAAAATCAATCAGCACCACATTTAATTATTGTCTTGACACATTAGTTGGTTGTTACGTCACCGGTAGAGTGCGCAGAAAGTGGGATTTGTTTGCGAAAGAGGGTACGGCTGTACTGACCAGTTACAGTAGTTTTACAGCTTGTGAAATCACGGACCGATTTTAAACCCAACTTAATGATATTTGCAAAATACGCGATAAACGTCATCTGACGGCATCATCAACTAGCAAGATACATTATTAAACTGAGATGCAGTACAGTCCGTTCTGCACATGCGTACATTGCGGCCTCTTGATCGGGATACAAAACGTTTAACTAGGTTCTATGTTCTTGCAAAACTTCGTTGTGCTATGTTGATCATTTATTTTACTGGAAAGGAATATATCTATAGATGTCACCACTTTTTTTTATACAAAAATGTAAACAAAGCTGAAAACGGACTGTAACGCAAAATAGGCCCGACAAATAGTAGTCTGTGTTCCAATTATAGACAAATCGCAGAATATGACCTTAGCCCTTCCTCTTTGGTACTGTATGATTGTACTATTTAAAGCACGCGTAGGAGTGTTTTATCACATATAAAACACGACGCGTAGCGGAGTGTTTTATATGTGATAAAACACGACTACAAGTGCTTTAAATGGCTTAAAAAACGACTCATCTTATACGAGTTCATTGGCGAAGTAATTTTTAAAATAAACTTTGTCTAAACCAAGAAAAGCAAAGCTAAAGTTTATGTAAATTAACATCATTTTTTATCACATATATAACCACGGCACGCTTATGATTTTTCTTTGTGTTTTGCTCCTGAATTATTAATGAGTTTTTTAAATATAATTACCTGTCCGATGCACTATATTCATTGGTAACAGCTTTGGGTGCCAGTGCATTAAGTGTAACCAGTTCTTCAATCAAATGATCCTTATTATAGACAAAAAAATCAAATGTGACAAGTGAACTACTAGATATAAACTTGGTTTAGTTTATTGCCCCGTCTATATATTACATGCATGCAGTTTATATACAGTATGTTCGTGGTGCACTTCTATTTTAAAAAGTGACACCGCCAAAGCTCCGCTAATCGTAATCGCCTGTGTCCCAGTCCACTACACTGTTGTGTTATAATCGTAGCCTGTGTCTCACTATACACTATTACACTGTATACTGGACAAGAACACAGGCTCTAAACAGAGGTCGTATAACATGGGCGTTTGTAATTTTACTCCGTCTGATGCCAGATGATTTCCCTCCGAGGCCGGTTGTTCAAAGCACATGCAATTAGCGCTAACTGTGGATTAAATGACCATGGTTTACCCATTCTTTTGGTTTATGTTTTCAGGTAGTTACATCCCTACCGACGCAAGCTTGTTCTTTTATTGGCACTGTCTACACTGGCAAAGACAATTCTGGATTATCCATTGAGGATAACTCACTACGGGCTGAGAATGAGGTTGCCATGCCAAATTTTAAGAATTCGCTTTTATATTGACTCTGTTTATTTCAAAACATTAGAGAATTCAACTTCTGATGATCCTGACAAGATTTCTGAAAAAATATTTGCAAGTTTTTAAACAAGCTGCTGGGAAGTATGCTTTGAATTTCACGTAAACCCAGGCTTAAGCTAACCGGCTTTTGAACAATTGGTCCCTGGACTGGAAATTGTTGGATATTAAATGGTTCCTTCTTGTCATTGATATCAGCTCAACAATGCGAGTATTTTGCACATTATACATTACCTCCTCTTGTGGCGATGTGTTTATAACCAACACTAACGAAGCTGGATCACAATATATTTTAAGAAAATTAATAAGAATATGATCCACTGAAATTCCCCTGCAAAATAATGCAAATAGTATAATTAGTACTGCCTCCTCCGCAGGCTCCTCTATATAGATCAAATTTAAATATCGGTAATATATAGATCAGCGCGTGCACTGCAAGCCCGATAAAGACGCACGCCCGCAACTAAGGACTCCGCAACTCCTCCCCTTCCTATCATTCCGCGCGCCCCCATTAATTTTCGTCTTTTCCTAATTAATTATTTGATAGCAAGCGACTGGGGACGAGGCAGTAATTAGTACAGTATAAATCCATATGTAGTTTACAGTCAATTGAAATACAATACAGTACAAGTTTTAAATATTCGTTTGGTATGTAGTTTTCACCCTTTCCAAACCAAATAAACAACATATCTGTACACTTAGCGTCGTCCGCGCTGTAGGACCGTTAGCCAATGGAAAACACTTCTCGACATTAGGACAAAATGACGTGCTCTTCGGCATGAGAGTTTCACTACACGGCCGTCAAATAGCCCAATAGATTTCCAGAAATTTAATAGTTTTGGAATGTGCGCTACATCATAGCTAGCTACATATGTTTCACATCGTTGTGAATTATGAACACGAGGCGAAAACAAAAATTGCACTTCATTCAAATGAATGATATATACACAGTATTATTACACAAACACACAATGTTGCTCATGCTTTTCTTTTTGAAATGCATCGAATTCGCTGTTGGTACATTGTCATGCATACACATCCCGGTACAGTGTTTGATGTGTTCTTTACACGCGTAACAATTGCTCAGTATGCGCAACCGATAAGCCTGTTTTCCACTTAACTGAGTCAGTAACGTAACGCAGAAATTCTCTTTTGTGACAACATCATTAGTTCAACTCATTTGCCCAGAAAACGTAGGACATACTATTAAAGTGGAAAACGGGTTATTCAGCCAGGGATGGATCCAGCCAGATCTTGTAGGGGGGTATGTGTGCTCATCAACCCATGCACATAGTTTTGGGGTGCAACTGGTTCATGACGAAATTCAGAATCATTTGGAGCTACGCACAGCAGTGTTTTATAGAATTGAAAAACATTCCCCCTGGAAGGGTTGTGGGGCATTATTCTGGTAGTTGTGACAGGATATTGCCTTTTCAAATTGAAAAAATGAATTTGATAATGAAATTGGCCCCCCCCCCCCCCCCCCCCCTTTGACAAGGCTAATGGGTGGGGGAGGGTGTACCCACACGATCATTTTGCCAATCCGGCAAGCCAAATGGCTGTGCGGGGTTTTCCTTTATCCGCAAAATACGTCACAAGGCAGACTTTTTAAAAAGGTCTGTTGTTAGGATTCCTCCATTCTTGCATGGTAGCAGATAAACTACAGTGTCAATTAGCTGCCAAGTTCTGGTGAATTCGCACATTTTAAAACTGCTGCTGCTGTCCAAAGTACTGACACAATTTCGTCACCCAAAATGACGAATATTCAAGATACCTGTCTGATATGCAAACCCAGATTTCCTGTGTCACAACAATTTCATACTGCCATTTTTGCACATCATGGTTTTCATAACTACAGGCATGAGGGGGAGGGGTTAAAATATTTCCAGACTTAATATATTTCCTTTTTCCTTGAAGTTTTTTATCACCAACCGTTTCTCTTTAATTCTTTATCTGACCATTAACTCTTAATTTTGCATTTTTAGTTTGCATGAGAGGGCGCACTGGGCGCAATGCGGCTCAATGGGTTAAACTTTCCAATCAATTGTATAACTGTATATCGATCAGTGTCAAATTTTTAATTTCTAGATTCTAGACTCTAGTCTGGTCTTTGCAGAAGTCAATAGACCTTACCCCTTTTGAGTGAAATTTTGATCTAGACAAGTCTGGAAAAATGTTGTAAAATGTGGATAATATACGGTAGCCTTGCGAAGTTTGCCATTTTTCAGTCATTTTGTATTACAAATGGGAAATTGATAATCAGTTTGATCATCTGATTATCAATTTCTCGTTTGTAATGCAAAATGACTGAAAAACGGCAAACTTTGCAAGGCTATATTATCACAACTTCGGAATATTACTAATTTTGTGATGCTCTTTCAAGCTGTGATGAACTTTTTCTCCAGGCATATCAAGATCAAAATTTCAGTCATAAAGGGAAAGGTCTTGATTTCGCAAACTCGCATCAAAAGAACTCTAAATACTGTAGGGTTAGACAATAGACAATTAGAAATAAACAAAATGGAAAAATTATTAAATGGAAGCACCTTAAGCCTTTAGTTTTCACAGCAGCCCTGGTATTCGACTATGAAAAAATACTTTTTGCATCAGTTTTAGTTTGCATCAGTTAAAGTTTGCATCAAGTTTTAATTTCGACATTTGCACATCAATGTTCTTATGATTTATCTGAATATCAGCTCAAGTTACCTCTAAATTAGGGAGGTGTTACTGTACACCTACTACGGGATGGTAGGTTGAGGATATTAGCCATGGAAAAATAAAATTTATAATATGCAGATAACATGTGATGATCATAAGTTACAAATATTACACATGTATATTCCTGCAAATAATACTTTAGTTGGTTAGAGAACTCTAGTTGGTTATATTAGAGGTGCACCAGTACCACCCTGTATGGAATGAGACTTTTTTATGCGCTGGACATGTGCGCCAAATACTACAGTAAATGTATTGCTGTACAGCTTAGATTCCTTACTGGAGTACCACTTCTTTGACTTTGGACAAACTGGGATCTGACCAGACTTTTAAAAAGTTCTAAAGTTCTAAAGTTCCGCGGTATTCGCGGGCACGAGAGAACGGGAAGCTAGAATACCGCCTGCCCAAAAACTACACATTCTGAGTTCTCCGGCAGCTGGGTGCCGGAGCATTCTGATTGGTCAGAATGTTCATTGGTCAGAATGTTGATTTTGAATTTTTGATTGACAGGAGTAAAGAATTAGAATAATTAGTGCTAATTTTAGAAGTTACTGTTGCCGTATTTATAATATAAACTATTGTTATTTTCGTAATTGATACCGATATATCGAGTGATGGCATACACTAACCAAAAAATAACGAATGTATTAATTGAGAATTAAGAGTTGAATTCTTTAATCTTTATCTGGAATCGGTAATCACATCGTCTTGAAGAATGAACAACAAATATCAATCCAACATTTGTTGTTAATGCTTGATAGAGATGTGTTACCGTGATAAAACTAAAAGTGCAGACTTGAAGGTACAGGCTCGTAAATGACACTCTGAGTAGTGTTTTTGATAGCGATTGGAACAAGACTATTACAAAGAAGTTACGTCCGACGGGGCCGAAGTTATGTTCGGCGAAAGGTATGGCTAGTCTATATTTTTGTTCAGACAATTGCGTAATTTGAGAATATACAAACTCGCTTGACTTTCAAAGCTCATAAATCGCTATAATGTTGACATCGACTAAACTATCACTATGACCGAGGACATATTGTTACATTGAATCAAACGTGATATTTTTGTCTTCATAGCATTGAATGAACCGAAGATATGAAACGTCAAAGCCGTATATTTGCACTGGCGCAATATGTGAGTTTGACAAATAAATACATTGAGATAGGCGGGACCATGCATTCGGTGGGCGGAACTCAGAATGTGTATTTTTTGGGCAGGCGGTATTTCTAGCTTCTACCGCCTGCTACGCAGGCTAGAACAAGTGCTGCTATCTCAAAGATAAATGTTGGTAAATAATTACTTTGTTTTATTCAAGGTCAACCTCATTCCCAGGCTCTTTCCTCTACGCTCCTACCAAATAAGCTTGATCAAGGGTTTCGCCGTTTAGTTTAGTTTAAATCTTCATTTCACAAGGATATAGAACTAAACAGCTAAAAACTATCCAGACTGTAAAAATAATACTTTACAGTCTGGAAAATTATTAAATCAAGACATGCCAGACAATTGAGACAAATAGGTAGCAAATCAGGTATCAAGCCTCAAGGATGGAAAAAATAGGCAAGCATGTGAGCAATGCTCGCAAGAAATGTTAAACAACTGCAGGAAATTCGTTTGAATGAAGATTTGCTATTGAAAATTTGAAGGAAACCTTATTAACATCCATGTCCTACTAACTATGGGCGCAACAACATATATGGTTGAGACATTATTCCTTGAATTTAAAACCATGGTCAGCTAGAGCATTATATGTTTATGCACATGCAGATTTTGCACAAAAATATTCCGTTGGTCTGGAGGTTTTGCTCCCAGGAAGAAAATGATTTTTTCCAAAGCTTTGAAGTACGTACGGTAGTGCGCTCATTTTTAGCCCAGACATTCCAACTCTCCCGATTTTACCGGGAGTCTCCCGAAAATTCATGCAATCTCCTGCTCTGCCGATTTTTATAAAATTCTCCCGATTTTTCAGAATATTCAGGAAATATAGTAAAAAAATCGTAAACATACTGCTTTTAGCAACATAATAGTCTGTCTTGACCTTTTTATGAAGTTCCTTAATGGCAATTTATAGGATCACTTATAACAACATCTTCCCAAAATGCAGGAAACGCCATTTCAGAAGACTTAATTTTTATTATTTTTTCACAGAAGAACTAGATTTCAATTCACTGAGCAGTCTCCCGAAATTTTACCTCCAGTAGTTGGAATGTCTGTTAGCCAGTTTTCATCATTCCAGAACTTCAAAAGGAATATAAGAACTATATTATACATTCATGATTATATCTGGCTTACTTGGCAGTAATGAGCAAGCCATCTTCATCCATAACATCCAAAAACATTCCAGACTCATACTCCAACAAAGGAATTGTGTCCGCCATTTTGTTTGCTTACAATAATCGGATTTTCCCGCCAAATCCTTTCGTCCGCGAAATTCAATCCTAATCTTAATCGACTTAACCCTAATCCAAATCTAACCCTCATCCTGACATTAATTAATTATGACCTAATCCTAATCCCAACGCTAATCTTCACCGTAATCCTATAAACTTTTATGCCAAACACTAATTCTAAACTTAGAGTACCTAATCCTAATCCTAGACGCTAATCCTAACTCTATCCTAACCCTAATCCGCATATCTCGTTATTTCGGAACTCTGAATTGTAAACTATTCTAGAAAAATTAAAAGTTGAAAGTCTTGAAACGAGAGAAACAAACGAAACGAGATTTTTTTTGTAGAAGTTTTATTTAATCTAGCATTTCATGATCTGACAACTCAGTATAATTTTGACCATAGACAATCGAGAGGATTGCGAATGCATGGTGTGACATGCATAATTTATTGTTACTTTCCTCGTTTAATACATGCTGTTAAGGTCCCTATAGCACCATGAACACTTGCCAGGGGAACTTTAATGAATGAAGTTTTGATCGTGTAAGAAACACGCAACCAATCGACAAACGGCAGATTACAGAAAGAAATTTGAGTTTGGGAAGGGTCAGGTGTGTGGTAGCATGGTACATGTGATTTGAATGCATACGTTTGGATCTCTTCACACGTCATCGCTTTACTACTTTTCATCAAAGGCACCAATTCGACCTGCAAACACTTGCGCGCAGCATCAATCCACTTTTTACCATCCAGAGTAAACTTATTGTACATTTTACCATACTCTTCACAGTAATGCTCGGCAAAACCAATAGCATAAGGATAAGAGGTGTGTTGGCAAGGGAAGTGTCTCTCGAAACATTGACGATACCAATCACAGGTATCACCACTTGGATTGTAACACTCGGCTGGAAGGTTGTCTTCATCTGCAAAGTGCTCTGCCTGAACAATTGCCCCAGAAACTGCGGCCACAAGTTTGATGAAGAACAACAACGCCAAAAAACATCGACAGTTCATCTTGCCACTGACTCAGTATAGGCTTTAATTTAGCCGTTCCTATTCAAACAGTATTATATAAGCTCAAAAAAATATGCATCATAAAGTTTACACAGTACAAGATTGTCTCTTTTGAAAGTTGTTTATTCATCTGAACAAAAAATCTTAGTCATGTGTGTTTTTCACCCGCCTTGTTTACCTAACTATTGATTAGCTCTAAATTACCACACTTACAATATCAATAAACACTTTCAATTTTGTCAATACTATGACTATGTTTTTTTGTTATGGATATCTCATGATCGATACATTACATTTACATCAAACTTGGCAACGGTTACTGCCTGGCGATATACAGCCGACAATGCTAACGTGTTTTGAGACAATTTCCACACCAATCCATTTACGTAGCATTTTCGTATTATTTCAGGTAACTACACCATTGTTCTCTATTCCCTTGTACATGAACGGATAACAATACGAAAACGCTACGAAAACAGTTGGTGTGGACGCAGCCTTAATTAGCCTTTCTCACGCCGCCATTTTTGGGGGCTTTTCATCCGAAGTCTGCGAGATAAGTCCACATAACAGCGACTTTTTATAATTTTTTTGACGAATGATGGTAAATTTGCTTTGTAAATGGTTAGTTTATTTTGAAAAATTTCCTTTCACATTGTTTTAATTGTCTGCATTGGTTAACGAGAATAAGATACCACCCAAAAATGGCGGATATTCGTCATTGTGAAAAAGGCTAATTGCCGTTTCTTCTACAAGTCGCAGTTTCCTGCCTGAATAAATACTGATTAGATGAATGACAATACTTTCATCAAGTTCAAAAGATCCCTACTACAACAACTTTTAATGATTTCCACAGATAAATCAACAAAATCATCTTAATTAAGTTAATTTATACAATTTATACAGTTAATTTTTTCAACAGTTTCTTTAATGTTTTCACTAGTTCAAACTTCAAAAGACCCCTATTGCGACAACTTTTAATGATTTCAACATATATAAAATAAAAAAAATTTTGGAGGTAGAAAATTTAGGTAGGAATGTAATGTTGAATGATCAGTAAAGTAAAAATATTTCTCTTCCACCGCTTGTATTGGTGTATTTCAGTACAAAGCGTTACAGAATAGCAGATTGTCGTCAACAAACGACATATAAGTATCTCTAATAGCCTGCGTAGCAGTCGCTTTATTTTTTGAAGGTTTTGACTTTTGAGGATTATTTTTTGAAGATTTTGAGGATTTTATACCTCTAATTACACAAAATCAGTTGATTACTTGGTTTCGTATAACAAGTCCAACTGTTACAGATACCCTTGTTAGTGGTGCCGCGAGTCTCTGCATGCAATTCAATTTACAGCTTGTATATTATTCACAAATTAATTTCTACAATTTTCAAGTTAATAATTATAATAATTTGAAGGGTTTGTTAATACCACCTGACGAACAAGAAAATTTTCGCCATTCTACTTTGAGGAATTAACGACATCAGTGCATCAATATATTTAATTCACTGAATACTGGAAGGTCGATCAGATAAGATTCAACAAGGTGGAGTCTGGAGACAATAGGGAGTTTACGATCTACGACCACTGATCTACGACGCGGCCGGCTCGACGACGCGCGCGCTTTCAAAACAAAAAATTTGGTGTTTCCACAAACAATAGTATTATACTGTATGTTTTATTGCCATGCAAACCTACAAAGAACTTACAAAGAAATTTGTCATGCAAAACAAAAACTGTCAATAATTCGTGGTCGACCCAGGAGTATTGTCAACCGCGTTGTCATTCTCAACACAACTTTAAACAAGCATTATTAGGTCTTCCAGTCAACATGAAAGCTTAATGCGACCCAAGAGGTGTTACTTAAAGTCGAAATTACAGCAAACACTGCATCGCTTCAGCCGAACGTAGCAGTTTGTAAGGTTATTTGAAAAAGCGTGAAATATTTTTTACAGTAATCAAATTAATTACCGCTCATCCTTGAGCTGAAATTTAGACTGCGTCGTTGAGCCGGCCGCGTCGTAGATCGTAACTACTCCCTACTGTCAAAGGTAAATTTTTTTTCAAAAAACTGAAAATTAACTTTAATTGGTTTTGAGAAATATCCACTATCTTTGTTTAACCACAATTCTTACTCGGTCGAATCTGGTCGATGATCAACAATGTTTCAAACAGTGATAGAGTAAACGCGAGATTGGGGACGAACAACTCAGTTTTTCGCCAACTTTTCTTAATACAAATCTCACCAATTTAATTTTATAAACAAAATAAATTCTTCGTTCTCTTCATTTAATTATCAAAACATTTTTATCAGTTAATAGACCTGAAACGAGGGGTATTCCACAAAAAATTACCCTGAGGGATGAAATATTCCGAGGGCGAAGCCCGAGGAATATTTCATCCCGCAGGGTAATTTTTTGTGGAATACCCCGAGTGAAAGGTCTATAAATGGTATATTATACCGAACCTTTCAAAAATAAGTAGAAAACAAATACCATTCAATTAACTTTTAATTTCAAAACACAACTTTTGATAACTTTACATTTAAAAAGTCGAATTTCCCGCTCAAGCGTGGTATTCGAAGTCGAATACCATGGCCCCGGGTAAAACACCCAGGGTTCAAATTGCCTAGGTCATAGTATTCGCTGAAAAATACCATGGTCATGTGGTACAAATTTAGTTCTCTGATTGGACAAGCTCATTGTGAGGTATAATATTTACTTATATATCATGCTAGCAAAATATAGTTATGACTTATGTTATGATTTTCTGACAATGTTTTGAAACTCACTATAAGTAGGCTATCGTTATTGAAATAGTTTGTTCCATGTACCTATATATACCGTGAGTGGTATTTTTGTTCATAAAATATTTTAAAAATATAATGTAAAGAATCAACTCTGATAGCTGCCAGTTGACCGCCTTGATCTTTATCGTATGATCGAGGCATTGGGCTTTAACTATTGATCACATACACGTGTGGGGGAAGTAGGCAACCACTTCCACCCGAGAAAATAGAAAAATAAGGCCTAGGAAATTTGGGCAAATTTATCCGAAAATATGTTAACTTCAGGTAATTTCATTTTATATAATACCTTATTTAATTCTGATCGTTTAATTGGCTGTTTACGGTCACGTGATATTGAATAGAAAATTCCATTTCCCAAGAGTGCAATGGAATACGTTCCATTGCACTCTTTGCGAGTGCAATTGTACTATACGTTTTATTCCATTGCACTCTTGGTGTTTTTGATAAATCGCATCCGTCAAAATGTATGTATTTATTAAATGGTGTTTTAATAAACTGTTCTTGAAAAAGCAATATTAGTCTATTTTGGTATTATATAAAACAAATAATGAACTTTTTATTCGTGCAATGGTAAGAATATTTTCATTCGGTGAAAGATGGAATGTTCCATTCAACTCGGCTGTCGCCTCGTTAAATGGAACATTCCATCTTTCACCTCACAAAAATATTCTTACCATTGCACTCATAAACATTCATCATTTGTATAACAACGTCTATACAAATTGATGACAGTCATAGTCCATATTAATATAGTCCATTGCGTATTATAAGCTCCGGCATAACCCGGACGACCCATAACATAACTCATAAACTGTCAGTGATAAGCACTCCAGTATGACGTATCCAGTATAGTTCAGTGGAGATATCCAGTCAGTCCAGTCACCAATGGTATATATAGCTCAGTGATAGAAAGAAAATGTCGGACGCATATGAAATTGTTGGTGGTTCTCTCAAGTTAAAAGGTGTCAAAGATGGAGGAGTAAAGAAAAAGTTAGCAATTTTTTTTAATTAGAAATCGTATTAAGCATGATTTCTTTAAAGTTTTGTAAAAATCACACAGTTTCCTTTGATCTTTGTGGGTAAAAAACAACAACATTTCTGGTCCAACTTTATTTTTTAGTAATTTTACTATGTGTCTGTGTCTAACCAGTCTATAATTAACAGACTATTTAATACAAGATTATTTTACTGGTTAAGTGAAGAGTCAGCGAAGCATGAGAAAAATAAACTTCATGCACAAGCACATTATATTCTTGGGTTGCGAGGAACTAAACCCATTAAGTGCCAGCGTTTGGCATTCTAGAGTAAAACAAGACGCCTGCTCAGGGCCATTGCATTTAATATCCACACCCCCATACGGGTGAGTTTTTCTGAAGGGTTACTCAAAAGTCGTTTCTGAGGGGTTAAGCCTGTCGGCATCCTTTGATCTCAGCGATATTTCTGAGGGGTAAGGGGTCAAGGGGAAAATGTTCAAATTTCTGAGGGGTGTTTTGTGTCGGCACTTTGATCTTTTTTTCTTAGGGGTTAAAATTTCACTGACTTCATCCGTAGGGGGAGGGGGTGGATATTAAATGGAATGGCCCTCAGGTGTTCACACTGGCCTCGCGGTTGGTAAAATACCATCGCAATATTCTAAAAAATAATTTGAAACATGTAGATGTTCTTCACTTCTTGACGGCTGTCACTTCATGATCACATACATTCAGAGGACGGCACAATAAAAATCCATACAAAACCAATAGAATTCAGTGATATCATATCGAAAAAGACAGAAAAGTTCAAGTGCATGTGCAATGAAATATAATAAAATATGTCCCACAATTACAGCGTCTAAGATTTGTAACGTGGTTTTAAATACGATATTCTGATTAACATTGTGTAGAATTGGTCCTAATCAGTTGCAACAAAAAAAACCCCCTGAAAAAGACAGCATTTTCAGCAAGGGCATTCTATGACACTGGCTACGGCCAGTGTAATAATAAAGTGAGTGCATTGGGGTGCAATGCAACTTAATGGGTTCATTAGACACATGGGCAGATTATTAATGGATTAACCCATTCGATCAGCACCAGCGCTCTCCCCAGTACAAGTACAATATTCTTCAGTGTGGAAAGTTTGTATCGCACGGCGGAGATATCGGCCGCACAATTTTGATGCTTTCTATATATTTTATATACTATTAAATTTTTGAAATCTCTGGCGTGCAATTTCCAAATTTTCCAGTCAGGGATATTCTGGCATTAGAAATGGGACTTCATGGGTTAACAAAAGAATCTCGTTATAATCATCTAATGTATTCAGAGGATTTTTTTCCAGTATTGTCACTATGTCTTTGTTTTATGAATCTCAGTAGATTGATTGCAACCCATTCATTAGTTAGGGTTGTAAATTACTGTAATTGTCTGAAATCCTAGTTGTCTGAAACTTAAGCCAGTATAGTAGACCCTTCCTGGAAAATTTGGTGGTTTTTACTAACCCCCTCAGAAATTTTGTTTTGGCTATTGGTTCACAGAATTTATTGTTGAACACTAGTAAGAGGGCCCCCTATACTTTTTGCGTGAAGCGTGAAGGGCTTATTTTACTTAGCCGTGAAACGTGATTGGCCCCCCTATAATTTTTGCGTGAAGCGTGAATGGCTTATTTTACTTAGCCGTGAAACGTGATCGATGATTTTCTTAATCCGTGACTCGTGAAAAAGCAAAATATTTTTACGTGAAAGCATATTATGAAGAGGTATAGGGGGCCCTCTAGTAATCCTGACTCGTATTTTTAGGACTCCTTGGCAACCTTAAAAAAGTTCTTGACCCCTTTGGAAATTGTGATTTGTCAATAACACTTCAGAAATTACAAATTTGATATTTGCTTGAAAAACTTTGTCATCCCCAAAATATAGAAAGAAGAAAAGTAAGAAGAAAAAAGAAGAAGCTTGGAAGATAGAAGTTCCAAGACAAGTTGAGGAAGAATCAGAAATGACATCAAAGCCAAAGGATAAAAGAACATCTGCTCAGATAGCATTTGATAGAATACAAGAAAAAAGAGTTAAGTATATGTAGCTTTGCCAATTAGTGAATTATAATGCTTTTTGAATGTATTATCTGTAGTATATACTAGTACTACTGACAGTACATGACTGTATGTATTTTATTCATATAAAGCACTTACTAATGAGGTTCAAATTTAACTTCCACTATGACTTGGTCATGCTTGACCAAGCCAAATGACTTGGTCATGCTAAATGTTTTAAGTGCTGAAGATGTGAGACACCTAAGGGGATACGGAGGTATGCCGCCCCGGAACATTTTTTTGAAAATTAGAATCAGGAAATGCCATTTCCTGCAATTTGGGCATTGAATTCTGCACTCCAGTTTGACCTGAAGGAGGGGCAAAACCTTGGCAAATTAACCATATTTTAGAATTTTATTTTAAACATACGACGATTCAATCACCAATTTGATGAAGCATCACTCGAAAGTAAAAAGCCATTGAACCCAAATAAAATTCTATTGTCACCTTGGGAGGTTAACACACGCAATAAAAATGTTCCTTTATTAAATTGACTAGAGATGTTTGAATTCAATGACCAGTGTTCTCCAATTTCCCATCTACTGTGCTCACAAATTTCTGTAGTAGAATAATCATCAATCATGCAGAATCGAATCGTGTTTTCGGAATTTCCATCTACTGTGCACACATGCCAGCATGTACTCACTTTAAAGTAAATTTGTGTGTCGTAAAAGTAAAGTGTCGATTGCATACAATTACACAAATCACTATGAAAAATGTTGACACATTTTATTTTCGGCCATTTTATGATATCAAAAGCTAATTAAAATAAATCATTGTAATATGATTATTTAAGATTTAAAAGCATTAAAAGTGTATTTATTGTGATTTTTGCTGTTGTAAGCTAGCTTTATTATAAGCTAGCTTGATGCAAATCGAGATTGGCATGACCAAAAAATTCTGGACGGCCATACTGGGCATGCGTGAGCGACAGTTATCCAATCAGAATCCAGTGTTTCTTGTATAAAATAATATAGCTAGTCATGCTCTTCACAAGAAGCATGACCAAGAAATACAACACGTGCAAAACAAAGGGCACAGTTGCTTGGTAACAAGCCAGTAATGCAACAAAATTGCATAATATTAGGCTACAACTGTTGTTTTACTTTTTAACAAACTACTATTTAACAAATTTAACTAGATGGAAGCAATGTGTCGTAAACTCGGCACAACCACAACAGATATTTATTGCAAGAAGACAAGAATTATAGTTATAATGCATATTTTCATATTTTTTGAAAATGTTTGGTCATGCCCAGCATGACTATAAGCACAACTGTCAGCTTCGCCACTGACTACCACTATGAGGTGTATTTGTAACTTACATAATTTTTATAATTTACCTAATTTAATTAACCAATCAGATGTGTACTAAGCCAGTGAGTGGTAGTGCAAGTCAAATCTGAACCTCTCTGATGTTATGTCTTTATTTTTGTTCAGGCAACTGATCGCATTTTGACCAAAGCTTCTCAAAGTCATAAAGAAAGAGTAGCAGTAAGTAGGAAACAAATGAATATTGAATGTTATGGGTGGTGCTAAACCGGGACAACAAGAATTTTTCCATGATGTTGGATGAATTTAGAATTGCAAATTAGGAAAATCTTTTGTCAAATTCATCCAAAATGGTAATGATGACATATCGACATACCTGTAACTTGCACACTAAGAATGGTCAGATTTTATTTGTTGGACGGTGTTTCCCATTGGGAAATTTATTGCCAATTAGTTAATTAATTCACTTAATTGTATGTTTCTCTTGTTTTACAGGAGTTCAATGAAAGACTTGATAAGCTAACTGAACATTATGACATTCCAAAAGTTAGCTGGACCAAATAAATCGAGGACAAGGATAATTTTATCCTTTGGATTGCTGACATGCTGGAATTTTGGGACAAAGAGCTAACTGCATGAAATAGTTCAATGGAATTTGCCATACTGTAAATTTCATAAATATGATTAGTTTGCAATACCCTACTGTATAGAAATTGGATTTTGGAATCAGCTGCAACTTGTGACTGGATAACATACTGTCTGGGTAAATGTTTGCAACATAACAGTACAACCAACCAAATTTATTGTACATATAATTGCTTTATTATTTTAAATATATTTTGTAGAGTAATCACTAGCCACAAAACTGATAAACTACACTATCTTAAAATGTATCATCAAGTTTTAAATTAGGAGCTATGTTTTGAATCATTATCTTAGCTCTTTCTTTACTATTTCTGATTGTTTTAATTGTTTCTTCAATCAATGTTAACTTGTCTTTTTCTTCATCATAGCATTTCTCTAAAGCATGACAATTCGATGAAGATTCTTTTATAAGTTCTTCATTTTGATGATATTCCAGTTCTAATTCTTTTATTTTATTCTGAATGTCACTATTTTCCTTTTCTAGTTTTCTTGCAACTCTCTTCTCTTTTAACATATCCTCTGTTATGGATTCCATGGAATTCAATATCCTGTCAGCTTCATCTATAGTTAAATATAAAATTAACATTAGAATAAATCATAATATTTGTTACCACAAGTTATTTTCTACTACTTCTAAAATAGACCTAATCAGGTGATGCATGTTTGTGCTCACCTTGACCAGTGTTATGATAATGTAAGCATAGAAGGAACAAAAGTGACCACAAGCATTTTACATATTTAATATATATGTGGGTGGGTTAACTGAACATGTGGGTGGCAAACACAAGATAGGCAGAAGTACAATCATGTGTTGTTAGACACTAAAAATAATAAAATGGAGTTTAGGGGTACATGCTTAACGAAATATGTCAGCTTCGTTACAGAGTGAGAGTCTTGATCACTTCTGTCATTGAGATCACAGCTTTATAGGATGTTATCTTATTACTAATGCCAAGGTCAATCTCAATTGTCTTCCCATGTCAGAGTTCTAAGGCCATATAAAATAAATTCCTTGATTCTCATCGCTAAATTTTAAAAACTCCCAGGAGGCGGGAGGTTTATATTTTATATTTTATGTCAAAATATAAAAAAAAAGTTTAAAATTTAAAAAATTGGAGAGGGAGGTCTTTTTATATTTGCCCTTAAATATATTATAGAAGAACGCTATATAAGTGGATAATTGCACATGCGCTAATGAACATGCATAAGGGTCCACACAAATCGTTGTAATAAGGCTATAAGCCCATTTTTTCCTTCAGTATTCCAAGCATCCCTTAACATGTTGCAATATTAACGATAAGACAATTTTATATCGCAAAAATTCCAATATAAAATATAAAAATAACTAAATCTCTGAAGATGCTCGGTTGGGCAGTAAATTTATATTTTATAACAAAATACAAAAATATATCAACGCGGAAACCAAAATATCGTCGGGCGGTGATGAGAATCAAGGAATTTATTTTATATGGCCTAATCTAGACATTCTAAACAATGTGAAAAGTGACTTTCAAAGTTGTAGCTGTAAATTTAACTTTATATATCATTGCAATTACAGTACATGATAAAACGTCACATTTCGTAGTGTACACACTCTCAACTTAGGAGAGACAGTACCCCAGGAGGATAAAACAAGCATGAGAAGGCTAATTGTAATACCTGCTAAGCCTTCACATCTCAAATTTAAATTCTGATATTCCTCAACATATTTCCTTGTTTGTTCTTCCAACTGATGAAGTCTTTCTTTCTCTTGTTTCTTTCGGAAATCTTCGATAATCTGTTGCATGACTGTATTTGGTGCAGTCGAGAACACCTCAGACTGGCATTGTGGACACTTGGGATACTCTGCAACACATATCTGACAAAATGTATGTCCACAAGGTATGATAGCTACTGGGCAATGAGGAGCAGCCATTAAGTTATTACAACCCGAACATACGTGATTTGACATTGGTTTCTCATTTTTATGACTACTCACAACTGGTTGATTTAATTCCTGTCTTTTCTGTTCTTTCATTTGCAATCTTTCAGCTACTTTATCTGCAAGATTATTAAACGACTCCGCCCCATTTGCAGTTTGATTGTTCAGCATACTATTACTAATAGGGGAATTTGGAGCTCTAGTGGACTTATGCTGTCCATCATCATAGCCTGCAATAGAAGTTTCAGATTTCCTTGATTCACCAGAACGATTGCTGTCAAGGTTACGTTTATTTACTACTTGAGGCGGAGAACCATAACCAGATTCTCTAGACTTCAAATCTCTGCTAGCTCCACGACTAGATTTCCCTCCAGGTTTTTTACTTGATACTTGGTAATCGTCTTTAGAAATCCATGCTAGACTGTTGGTTTTAGTCCCAGTAGTCTCACTTCGTTTTTTTCTTGATTGAATACTATCTGAGGTTGAACGAGCAGATTTCTTAGCGGCATCTGAATGTTTCGCTGACTCTCGTTCTTCCATCCATTGCCTTTGTCTTTCTTTCATTTTACGGACTTTCTCAGTTATATTGTCATCCGCTTTATTCCCTGCCGATTTCCGTGACATTTTCCCTGTTTGACAACTCTTCTTACAGGTGCTGTTTAATAAACCGAATCACTGCACAGTGTGAAATAAAAACGTTGCTATGTGTAAACAACAACAATTCATCCGCCATCTTGGATTTACGATATGACGTCAATGAGTTCCTGGATAGCACTTTTTTCCATCCAGCAAACCGCCCTGTCGATTTTCTAAAGTCGTTTCTTTTTGGATTTTTCATTAATTCGGTTAGGGTTAGAGTTAGAGAGTTAGGGTTAGAGTTAGGGTTGAGGTTAGAGTAGGGGTAGGGTGTGGGTTAGTTACATGGCCATTTAATACCTCTTCCATTTTCCGAAAATGACGTCAGGTCAGTTCGCTGGATGGAAAATAGTGCTAACCTGAGTTCCTTAAGCCCGTTCTCCACTAGGGCCAGGCGAATTTTTTCGCGCGACGCGAAGCGAAAAGCAAATCTTGACAATGTGAAAAAATTCGCCGCGAAAAAGTTGGATCAGTTCCTACTTTTTTACTGTTCGCGCGAACAAATTCGCCTAGTGGAGAACGGGCTTTAGTTCTTGTTGCAAGCTGTTGCAACTTGCAACAAATCCAATATTATTGGGTTTCATACGACGTCACGTGGTGGCGAAGGGCCTGTGTTAGTGTGTCAAGGGTATAAAAGGACGGTTTTTATATTGTTTTATATTAGGTTTTATAATAATCGGAGACCTCGCACAATCACACGCTGCATGAGATTTTATGCACAACTCACGCGTTTTTCATACATACGTATACGCAACGGAAAAGTTGAAATATCTTTAAATGTTACTTATGAAATAACTGAATGAATATAAAAAGGAAAGTATATAGTTTTGTGAATGATTTAATGTCAGTGGCGGCGCCAGGGGAGGCAATGGGGGCATTTGTCCCCCCCTCCAAATGATTTTTTGCCCCATTTTGCCCCCACCCGAAAAAAAAAATTGTTAGTCACTGAGAGCGACTAAAGGCTACACAAGCGTTTTGTCGTTATCGGAAAATGTGTAGCTTATAAGTTGTCATACGCGATTCGGCAACGCGACGAGAATTTTCAGTTTTCAAAAACAAATAAAACCATCAACGGATAATAATTTTACAAGGTATGCAGACCAAAATAATAAAATTGCTAAGTTGTCCCGAATATTTGAAAAACAATGAAAAATATTAAAGTTAAATGTCATTGAAAACTGAAAATTCGCATCACGTTGCCAAATAGCGTCCGGTCTGTATGGACCTGAAGGCACTAATAAGATGAAAGTGTCACGAAATTATTTGAATAAACCACATCGCATATATGGTGCTCCTAAGAATACCGCCTCCTTTTGAGAGGGGGGCGAATCTCCTGGGGGGGGGGACAAAAGTCTTGTGACAACGGCATGGGCAAAAATCTATCTTGCCCCAAATATCAGTTGCTCTCAAATGCCCCAATTCTGAGGCCTGGCGCCGCCACTGTTTAATGTGCATTTGTACAGGTAATTCATACTAGTCTTAAATTGAAAAAGACTTAAACTTTTCCGTGCGTACGCGCCGGAACGCAGACGGAACGTGAGACTCACAATGCATGAGACGCATGCACAATGTGCTGCCAGCCTAGTCCCTGGCCTTCCAAGCGCGGGCGAGTTACAGGCTGTCGTGAACTTGCGGGCTGTCAGTTTCGGAAACTGCAAACCCCTATATCTATTCTGTGCTGCAAACCTTGTCGATTTCCCCCTAAAATAATGAGGCGGAAGCGAGAAGGCCAGGAACTAGGCTGGTGCTGCCCACTGATGCTGCCTCCTCCGCAGGCTCGTCTATATAGTCAAATATTCAAATTTAACTATATAGACTGAAATCAGCTCGATCTCTTCCGAAAATTAAAGCTATGTCTTAATTGTAAAAAGCGTTCAAATTAAGACATTGCCTTAATTTTAAACCTAACCCCCACCCAACCCCCACCCTAACCTCTAACCCCTAATCCTAATCTAATCTTAGTCTAACCCTAATCCGATCCAAATCTGGCGGCATTTTTCTTCTTTTAATCCCCACCCTTCTGCGCCAAGCCGCCCTTCAAGGGCCATTACTTTTATAGTAAGAAACCTTGCCTAATGATTGTGGTATTGTTAAATGGAGAATTTCAAATTTAAGCCATATCCTTAATTTTCAAAAGTTTTACAATTAAAGACATAGCCTTAATTTTGAGAAGAGATCATGTTGACTGAAATTTAAATATCAGTAATATACAGGGTGCATCAAAAAAAGCGCAACCTCGGAATTTCCCAAGAAATCCACATTGTTTTAAAGACAAAAGATTTTAGGCGCCTGGGAATTTAAAATAGCACAACTGTCAAAATTACTGCACACGCGAGTGCATAAAGCAAAATTTATGCATTTATTTAATGCACAAAAGCAGTAATATGATCTATTAACAACCCGATTTCAATTCCCAGGGGCCTAAAATCTTTTATGCTTAAGAATTGCAAAGTGATTTCTTAGGAAATTCCGAGGTTGCGTTTTT